ATTTGCATCTGCCAGCAAGCCCCTGCTCAGGGCTTGACCCCATACTTAAGCCACCGGGAGCCAGACCCAGGTGCCACCAAGGCCAAGGGAGTTTCTATTCTTCAGCTGCAGCTTCGAGAATTTGTGGTAGGAATCCACACATTTGTGTTATAAGAGGATTTTTTTTTCTACCTTTTACTTTTACTTTTGTACTTGAAATACTTGGAAAGATCAGAACACTTTACACTTGAAGGCATCTTTCCAAACGAGGCTGCCTATAGTTTAAAAATCAAAAGGCACAGAAAGGCACCCTCAATGGCCTTTAGCAAAGCAACCAGCAGGTGAGCTATTACACTGCGCAGGGAGGCTATGGCTCCTATACATCTTCACCATCTCCTTACTCTGCGACTAAATGTCTGGTCCTGTTTGTGCCAGTGATTCCCACTAAATCACGCAAGCATTTTGATCATGGGATTCCAATACACCCGAGGAAAAGCTCCAATCTCCTCAATTACAGAGGGGAAGAAAAGATAAATAATACTGAAAATGTCGTTTAAGTGCCTGTAAAATATTAAATATTTTCTAATGATTAATCCAGCTTTGCAAATAAATAGTTTCTTCTGTGTCTACAAAGTTTAGAAAAACTAGCATTTTCTTCTCAAAGGGAGCGTGCCTTAATAGCATGATTAAGCTCAGCATTATTTCCTATTTTAAAAGTTTAACTTCTTATCCTGGACAGATAGATGCCTCCTGAATTAGTGTACCACTTCTTGGGATGTAGATTCTTTAAGGAGCTCCTCTTTCACAGATAACACCTGCTAAAAAACTAGAAATTTCTACTAAATACTGTAATAAAGAGCAGCACAATTTAAATTAGTTACCATAAAAATTACAAGATAAACATTGGAGTTTAAGATTTTTGGGATTTTCAAATGGCCATTTCCATAAAAATGCCATTTTCCTACAAGGTTTTTATTTTTGTTTTGTTTTGTTTTTTTGGTACTTGGCATCTAACTCAGGACCTTGCACTTATAAAGTAGGCGCCTTGCCACTGAGCTAAATCCCCAGCCCTCTACAAAGTTTTGTAATTATGTTCTCTCTGTAATTCATTTCTGAAGACTGGGTATTTTGGGTGTGGTGATCCTTTTTTGTGCTTATAAATGCAATTTTAATGCATCTATTGTTTTTTCATAGCCTACAATCATTCATTTAATGCTCTCAAAGCCAATCAAGTTAAGAGTCCATCAACCGTACACTGCAGGCAAAGTAAGCTTCGACCCAGCCAATCCTTTATTGTCTTTGTGGGAAGCAGACATCCATCTCCAAGGCAGAAAGCCTACACATTTTCTTTGCTGGTCCTACACACACACACACACACACACACTCACTCTGAGAGGCTTTAGATAAGGTAATGTGTGTACTGTTAGTTTGCTTTGTGTCCTGTCCTGATGCTGTCTCTGGTCAGGGCCCTTTGAGGATGAGCCTAGCAGACCAGAGACAGATACCAACACATGCTCTCAAGTTTTCCTTGTCAGGGATTATGACAAAATCTTGAACTTTTCTTCTGTTAAATACTGAGTTTGGCCAGTTTTAATTTCTTCAAGACCACTAAGTGTATGTTTCTAAAACTGAGAATCTTAATTCAGGGCTGGGAAAGAAAAAGATAATCAGAGTCAGAGCTTAGCCTGGGGACCATCATGAAAATAACCAAGCTGTTATTTTAAACTTGGTTTCCCATATTCTTCAGCCAACAATTTGACAAAGACAGCAGGATCAAGACAAAAACAAAAACAAAAACAAAAAAACACTGTCAAAATAGGAAATCTAAGTCCTGAGATAAACTCTGAGTGAGAGATGGCAAATGCCCAGGAGAATATACATGATTTTTAGCTAGGCAAGGAATTAAATGTGAATGAGTCATGGATTCCTTAATATGCTAGCTGTTTCCATGTCCTAAAAAATCTACTAATTATATAAAAAACAGGTTTAGAGTTCTGTGAGGAAAAAGTATATTTATTGATAATTTATTCTCTCAAATCCTAATTTGCCTATATTCCCTAATCGAAATCTATGAAGTTTATGCAGTTCTTTTCTTTGTAATAAATATTCAGTAATTTATTGGATGAAATTAGAGGATGGTTCAACTTATTCAGCATGTGCCTATAAAGACAAAGGAATTGCTCAGAATTAAGAGTACATTTTTAAGTCTCAAATAAAATGTCTCCTTATAAAACGCTTCTCATGAAGATTCCAGACCTAACATTTTAAATTAGAGATGAGGGAAGCCGCTCAGCAGAGTTGTTTGCTGAATTTGTGGCAGAAAAAATCAGAAGGAAAATCAAGTAAGACAGGAACGAGATGGACTTAAGTTCAAAATTTATCTGTGACTAGTTGGAATGTATGGTGAAGTTTTAAAATACTTTTTTTATTACATATTCATAAAACTTCCCATCTGGAGTGGCAATTAATTTTTTTAGGCCTGCTTGTCTTTCTTCAGCAGCAGCGTTAGTAGGGAGGGTGCAACACATTTTTATTTTTTTGGTAAATTAAGGTCATAATGAAAGCTATTCTTAAATTGTCCTTGATACACCAAGGTGGAAAGTCAAATAAAACAAATGTTTTGTATTGTACGAGTAATCATAAGATCTGGCAATTCTAAAAAAATGTGATGACTTTTGTCTTTTAGGTATTTTTATCCCCTTTTATTAAGATTCAGATGTCCTTTAAGTTAAGCTAGAAACAATGCAAACAAATGGAATTCGTGAGTACTTAAATACCATGGATGAAAAGTGAAGGAAATGACTCATACTCCCTGTAAGTATTCTAGTTGTAGATCATTCTGGAATTTTAAAATACGTGTGTGTGTGTATGTGCATGTGTGTGGGAGTGTTACAGAAATCTCATGCTCACAAATAATCACATTTGGAACTACTGCAATCAAACATTTATTTCCACATTTGAATCATATACAGTGAGTGATTCACACCAATACGAACAGGTTCTTGTATCTCTCATTCCACGGGCATGACCTGTTAATTGTTTCTTTTTCATTGTTGATGATACAACAGAACCAAATGCACTGACACCAGTTACATCTCTTCTTCCCTTCTCACCAACATCCTGGTTTGTTCGACAGGTTATCCCAGTGCTGTGTGATTTCCAAGCCAGTCACAGAGGCTATGCTTGCAGCAGCCTGTCTAAATTGCAAGCTGTGATACTGTCAAAGAAATTAGACTGAAGAAGGCAGACAAGAGTTGTAAGTCAGGACAGTAACAGCAATGATATTAGGTTCTCAAATATATATTTCTATTGGGGATCGAACTTGGGACCTTGAGCTTGTGAGGCAGGTGGCAGAATCACTGAGCTAAATCCCCACCCCCTAAGTTCTCTAATATTACACTAAAAGACAAAAAGAAATATGACCATAGCTTTCAGTGGCATACTCTTTGCATATATGCAAAGGCCGGTTATGTGTAATACAGAGACAGAGAGAGAGAGAGAGAGAGAGAAACCAAGCTGTTCATCAAAGTCTAGTTACTAAAAGAAAATGCAGTAAGCATGTTTACAGAGCTTCATTTTATTTAACCTTAAATATAGCTGCATTTAAAAAAGTCAGTGAGTTTAATTTTTAAAAAAATCAAAAATGCTAATACATTTTTCATGGTCCAACAGAGTTCCATATAGTTGCTTCAGTAAATATTTTTTTGTAATAGATTTTCATATTATGGAATAATACTTTTAAAGTAATCACTGATATTTTCTATTTAAATACTGTCAATATGTCTAGTTTGGGGAGAAAAAAGAAAAGTGTATATTAGTGCAGTTCTTTAAAAAAACATGGAATTTTTATAGTGGAAAGGATTCAAGTAACATCAAATTTTGCCTGCTTAAGAGATAAAGAAGCAGATTAAAGAAGGGCAAGGTCATAGCCTTGATCCAGAACATGCTGGCCTCTCCTGTCTTGCCTGAAGCTCACCACATGCAGAGGGTCCCTATGTGAGTGACACAGGAGACCAGCTCACACTGAAGCCTGCTAACTTGGTACCAAGTGCTGGAAAAGGCCCACTGAGATTTCATTTTCAAGTTTCCCATTTATAAAAAATGCTGGGAATTATACTCAATATTTCCTTTTTAAGTGAAAAGGAGAATTTCTCCTAGTACTACACAGAACATTTTGTAGTTTAAATTCTAATATTGTCAAAAATCAGTAAACAGACCCATGAACAAAAATGTTTCATACCCTCTCTTCTTCCATGAAGCTCTGAGTTATAAGAACTTTTGCAAAGGAATAAAACAGCTCATTCCCTAGTTCAAGCACCAGTAATTAGTAAACGAGCACAGGTTTCACACAAAGGTCTAAAATACAGGCGTAGGTCAGGGGCATGTGGTGGGACAGGCTGGACAAAGAATCACACGTATAACACTATCAGTCTGCTTCCAGTGTGCGCCCGGAAAGAACTGAGGGCTTTGGACTTTGACGGCATTAGACAAACAGCCAAGATATATGTGGTGATCTGGAGTGGGTTGGGCTGGAAACACACACACACACACACACACACACGCACGCACGCACGCACGCACGCACGCAGGCAGGCAGGCAGCCTGGTAATAAAGAAATGCTCCTGATATTTTCTGTGGTTTTGTAAAACACAAAGTGGGAACTAGGCAATGTTTGCCAAACCGAAGAAAAAGCAGGTGGGGAGCCACACGCCTTCAAGCTTCTGTGGAGATAAGATTAAACAGTGGAGTTTGAAAACAATTGCTGCTTAGCCCTTTAGCACTGACTTTTAATTAGTTTTAAATGTCAACTATCCCTGTAATGAACTCAGAATAGAAATGTATTTAGATAATTTTTAGGGATTGTTGTCATTTATGATTCTTCGATACAAGTTTAAGTAACTAGTGTTGGCATTAAAAACAGATACTCAGGCTTGCTAAGCCCAATCACCTCTGATTTTATATATGAAAATATTTTTTTTAAATCCAAGAACTAAATCCCTTTCCCCTGCATTTTAATTTATATTAATTATTCTAATTGGCTAAAGGATCTTTTCTACTTTCTTTTTAAAAATTGAATTTACCATCTGCTTTAATCAGGTTATATCTGATAATTTCTATTCTAGTACTGAAATCAAATGGTTTAATTTCTAAGGCTTCTGAAATCTGCTGAAGGGTGGCCTGGGCTAGCTAGCTAGCTATTTTAGTGGTTAGTGCCTTTATCATTACTAAAAAAAATCACCCAGTCCTTTCCAGATAAAGATTACTGTGGCTTCTCTGTATCATAGCTATTTAAAATTTTTTTTTTTTTAGAAAAAGAAATGAATTACATATCATAAAATCGAGGAGCCATTAAATTATTTAAAGTTGTGGTCTTATCAGTTATCATCCATGAGATAAAGCTTATTTTAACATAAAGGATGTCCTCCATTCGGAGAACAGACACAGGGCTGACATCAGTGAACTCATGCAACTGCCTGTGGCGTTGGTGGCACTGTAAGCATATTCCTACTCATGTCCCTTCCTGTAACACGACTTGATGCACATCTATTTGGTCAAGTGACCTGAAAAACCATTCTCTTCACTTAATGCCAGTGATGGAAAGGCAATCGAGTCCAGTGATCTTTGGGTACTGCTGAGTTTTTAACAGGTAGGCGTTTCCTATTACACCTTTCTTCCATGAAAGATGTAAAAATATCCAAAATTAGAAGAATGAATTTTTATTTTGGAAAAAAACCCCAACATTCAAGACCAATCAAAATACTCTTCAATATTGCTTAAATTTAAGCTGTCAACCCTCATTGACTTTCCTTGTAGCAACACCATAGAATACATACACCATAAATGACCTCAGATTCCACTTTTCCATTAGAAGAATCAAGGAACGCAATTCAGAAATAATATCACATCCTGCATTTTATTCAGTTCCATATGACAAAAATAGTAACCTAGACTAAGACATCCATTTCAATCAGTAGATGTGTCAAGCCACAAGATTTAATCATAAAAAATATTGGATCTAGGTAACAATTCCCAGCTGGCTCAGGGAGGTCCTCACCCTGCATGGTATTGCAATAAAAAAATAGTGTCTCTCTTCACCATGCAGGGATGAGCCAGCCCTGCATACAGACTGGGGTTGGTCTCACTGTCCCTTCATGAGCCACCTTATTTATAACACTTTACATTTCTCTTTTCTTAAGTTATATACACATCCTTCTGGGAGAAGAGAGGACACTAACATAGTACCAAATACTAACCAAAACAAAACACACCAAAAGGACACAGATAAATAACGAAACATTCAACTGCTGAAACACAGCAACATTAAGCCACCTCGGTTTCCTCTTCCCAATGCTGACACATCCTTGTCACTCATCCCCCAGGAGAGATGGCATGACACGGAGGTGCCACATCTCACCACATGGAAAACAGAGTTGCAGAGTTCAACGTTCATTTCCAACAGAAACAAACAGCTAATAAGCCTTTGAAACTCTTTGTTCAACAACAGGCCAGCAGAGGAGCCCGTTCTCCTCCAACGGCTTTTGCTGTTGCTGGACTTGTATTAGAAAGATGGTTCTATTTTTCTGTTTCAACTGAGAAGATTCACTGTTTGATTCATTCTTCAGGGGCTGACAGCTCCTTGCACTGTTGCCCAGCTACTCACAATATCTCTTGAACAATTCTGTTGTTGGAAGTTCATTGTGTCAGATCCCAGCATACTTGCAATGCACAAAAATGAGGTAGTACACACAACACTGACGTTCAAGTTTTGATTTAGCCCCACCTCCCAGCCTTTGCTCACTTGATGTAATTTAGATAAAGTCATCAGCATAAGACTATATTTTCAATAATCAGAGGACATTGTGCTTTGTTTTCATTTGAGAAGACAATAAATAAATCAGGAACTCAGGAAGTTTCAAAGTTATGACTGATTATACTGCGGACACTTGCTATTTCTTGTTTATTGTATGCAGTAACCAGCACTATTAGGCAGTCACACTGTTTGTGTGCATCTGAGAAAGAGACAGGAGAGCTTACAGTAAAAATTACACCTACACAATGTCTCTCAGTTATTTCTGGACTTGTACTGATGTCACAGTCCTAAGATTAATTCATCAAAGTTTCATTAGGGTGGTCACAGTTTTTAAATGGGCTTTGTAGAAAAGTTAAATAAATCATCTTAATTTAAGAAATGGCAGGCCTTACTTTTTTGAGGCGCTGACATGTGTTGGTGGCTTTTCTGCTTAAGTAGGATAGATTTCTTGTACTGTTTGACTTTAAGACAAAACAAGAAACCATAACAGGGTTTTTTCCCCCATTTTCCTTAAACCGAAGTACTATTTATAAAATACTTTACATCTTTTTAAAATTTCAAATTATAGACAAACCTCCCTAATACAAAATACTAAAAGTGCAATCGTATAAATTAAGAGTTTGCAACCACATTATATAAACATTACCTTTTTATTGTACAGCTTTGATAATGTGAAATATTTACTCACAACTGTTTATAATGTTGTGAATAATTTACGGTGATGTTTGTCTGTAACTTGTTCCCCAATCAATCGCTGGGCTACAGACCACACTAGAGAACAACTGTCCACATAGCAGCTACAAACATTTAAGTTAAAAAAAAAAAAATAAAAGGCTTGTTACTGACAGGTACTTGCACACAAAAAGCATGCTATCTTTCCCAATAGAACGTCACAATTTTGCCTGTGTTGAAATAATCCACTTATTCATAGTAAAACAAATCTTGCTTTAAAAAAAATCACATAGTCAGGTGTATTCTGCAGTACAAAAGCTTCATTTAAGGTTGGGGCTATTTTATTGTCTGTTACCCGCATAATCTTAACATTATAAATACTACAGACGAAGATACTGTCGTAATACACAGCATTAGGAGTACTGAACCACTTCTTTAAGGTGAAGAGTTCCTAAAACATAGTTCAAGTTTCTAACTAATTTGAACAAAACCATCGAGTGGGGTTCACTGGAATACCCTTGAAAGGGTTATTAGGTTTTAGGATAAAGGAAGTGGATATGATCTGAGCTCTTTCTGTTCTAAGGCGGTTTTCCAAGCACTTCTTTTTTTTCTTTTTAACTGGAATTTATTTAAAAGGTTGCAGAGTTCTTAAGAACAGTCAAACCCACTGTTGAGCAAAGTACCATGCAGTGCTCACAGACGACCTTTCGGCAGCCACACGGTGAAAGTATTTTCTGCCATAAGTAAAATTTTAATGAGAACCTAGGCATGAGGGTCCAAAGCCTGATGCTCAAATTGCAAAATGTAAATGTGGACAGAATAGATGCAATGAGTCCCAGTGAGTCCAGCTAGTTTATACCGATCTCCTTGTTATCCTCAACAAATCTTGTGAATGGACGACTGGCTCCTGTCTCTGAGCTCACTTTGTCCAAACTGACAATGGGTGGGCTGCTGCTGGTGCGCGCTTTGTCCATCCCACCGGTCATAGTACCCAGAGGGGGAATGGCACTTCCGCCTAGACTTACTGGGAGCTGGGGGATACCTCCATTCTGAATGACAGAGATCTCGTTGTTCTTCATGGCGAGCCCATTAGTGATGGCTGCTGCATACTGGTTCCAAAAGCTAGGGTCGACATTCATGGCTCGAGCTGCCAGGTCCTTCTGAAACATTTCAGAGAACTTCAAGGCATCACCACCTAGCAGGGCCATGGGGTTTTCCACGGACAGACGGCGTCCACGCCTTGCAGGGGCGTTATTCCACATGTGAGTTCCCATGTGTACCTGTGTAAGATGGACAGACAAGCCACAGTAAGAGAATCTGTAACTTCAAGGTGGATATGTCCTATTTCTGCTGTTTCACAATGCTGGCCCCATTCTAATCATTAGCATGGCCACAGTAAAACACAGGAAGTTTTTCTGAGCATCTTATATATGCAGTCTTTCATCTTGTGAATGCAAAAATCAAAACCAGCTAATAAGTTAATGAATGTATCCTTTCAGTTAACACACCTGATAAACACAAAAGGCAATAGGGCATTTCTAAGAGCTCCAAGGATAAAGGGCATTGTCCATTGCTCACCCCACCCCCAACCATCTTCTAATTGAACTCTTCATTGACTGGTGCCTCTCTTTCCTTCCCTCCATAAGAAGGAAGTATTAATTCTAAAACATGTCGGGCCATCTGCAGAGTCCTCAGGCAGCTCTTATCCTTCTAGTCCTTACTGGACTTTGACTGTGTCTGCAGAGCCTGCGCCCCGACACGAACAGTCTCTGAGACGTGCTTTACAGAACATGGAGACCAGCACATTTAGCTGAGGTCATGTGGATGCATACCCTAGAGTCAGCAGCTTCTTGTCAACAGTCCATCCTTTGAGGAAAATACAATGCTGCTGTAGTCTTCAACAGGGACATATCTCAGCATCTGTTTTTTCTCAGGCCCTTCCATGCTGGGGAGCTTCTCACTAGTACCCATCCCACGGGCCCTCTTGGCAGCCCCTCTTCTAGAAGTCACTGAGCAAGCCTCATCACTGTCTTATTTGTATTATATATGAGTGTTTAAAGGCCAAGTTTATTTTGTTATCAGAGTCAAGAGAGCTTTCTGCCCTGGGCTCACCTACCAAGTTACTATGTGTGTGCCATCACGCCAAGTACCAGAGCCCAGTGTCAGAGGTATAGGTGGACATGTTCCCTGGACAGGAGGCCCAGCATCCTGTTCTTTCCAGTTACATGGGATGCACACTTTGAGAGTATTTGCATATGAACACATATGCACATACCACACATGTATACACACAATCCACACCACACATTCAGACTCACACACAACCCACATTACACCCACATGCAAACACCCCCAGTGTCTTATCCTCTGGGCCAAAGAGTACAATTTCTGTCATTTTCTAAGACAGGTAGCACAGGGAACTGTCCATAGGTACCCTGTTGGTTCAGCCACAGCCTCAAGCCCATGGCCCCCTTACCTTGAGGTTGCCCTTGGTGGTGAAGGCCCTCCCACAGATGGTGCAGCCGAAGGGCTTCTCCCCAGTGTGGGTACGCTCATGGATTTGCAGAGCACTGGCCGAGGAGAAGGTCTTCCCACAGGACTGGCAGTTGTGCTGCTTGGGAGTCCGGCGAGGTGGGGGTGCCAGCATGGGTGCCAGGCCTGCGGTCATCACTGTTTGGGGCCCTGTGGGGACCTGGACTCCAGCCGGCAGTGGTGGGCCCTCACCCAGTGTGATGGCCTTGCTGTGACCGTTCACTTCCATTTTGATCATGGTGGGCGCAGGGCTGGAGACCAGGCTAGGAGTGCTGTGGCTGGGACCTAGAGTAAAGTTGGGGTCAAATACCTGAGAAGGCAGCTCTTTCAATTTGTGTGTCAGTAAGTGCTGTTTTAAATTACCCATAGTGGTACACCCCCGCCTGCAGACTGAGCAGACAAATGGCCGTTCCTTGGTATGGCTGCGGTGGTGGATTTCCAACGCACTTTTGCAAGCAAAGGGCTTGCCACAGACACCACACACAGTGCTTGTACACTTACCCCGCTCTCTGTTCAGGAACAGCAGGCTGAAGGGGGCCTCCTCCTTGATGATGGGCCGGCTGGGGTGGCTGGCTGTCAGGTCCAAGGCACCTCCATTTCCTGGGCCTGGGGGTGGACTGTCTGGCCTTTCTGTCTTTAGTGGGATCTCCTGTGGATCCTCCTGGTTGCCAAGGACTGGGGACTTAGAGCAGAAGTTCTCACCATTGCTGTTGGTGGGTGACATTGCCTGGGAGGATGAGGATTCTGACAGGGCAGGGCTGCCTGCACTGTGGCTCTCCAGGTCACCCACTGCAGACGAGGAATCATTGCTCAGGTGATCACTTTCCCCAGATCCGTTTTCCACAGACTTCAGGCTAGTAAGCTGCTGACAGTTCATGACTGAATCAATCATTTTCATCTGATTCTCTAGGGCAGCAATGCTGGAAATGACTGAGGGAGGTGATGGCGGGCAGGACCCTGAGTAGGCGAGGAGCGGTTTAGACGAATCGCTGGCTGTGTCCTTTAGTTCTGCGTCCTCCTCCATCGAGTTTTCGTCGATGTCGTCGTCATAGCTGCTCAGGGTTTCCACATTCTTCTCATCAAAGGGCAGCTCTGCATCCATGGCATCCTGGAAGCCCTCTGGCAGCGGTGTATTGGGGATCTGCCCTCCCATGTGCATGCGGATGTGCTGCTGCAGCACCACGGCATTTGTGAACTTCTTCTGACAAATGGGGCAGGAGTGCTGAACACGCAGGGGTGGTTTGGCACGATGGACTCCAAAGTGCGTCTTCAGGTTGCCTTTGGTGGTAAAGGCACGGCCACAGATCTTGCATTTGAAGGGCCTTTCCCCTGTGTGTGTCCTGTAATGCATCTTTAGGGCACTCTGACAGCTCAGCACCCGGTGGCAGATGACACACTGATTCGGATCCGTCATCTTCTTATCAATGTTCTCTACCAACTGCTGCAGTTTCGAGGTTTCTGATGTTTGCATAGAGTCGAGCAGGCCACCAAAGGGAAACTGGGCCTTGAATTGGTCAGAGGCTGCTGGAAGACCGGGGCTGCCAAGGCTTGTGGAAGTGCTGTCTGTGATAGTAGTGACTGCAGACGTGGGCACAGCACTGACCTGCCCGCCAACAGGAATGTCCCCTGTCCTTGCATTTGTGCAAGACAGGCTGACAGGCTCGGTTTTAGTCAGAGAAGATGCACTGAGAAGTGGCTGTGGGGACTCAGATGACACTGGGATGCTGGTGTCAGCATGGTTGAGGCCTGGGGACAAGGAGGTGCATTCGCTGGATGCAGGAGAGGGCCTCTGTGGGGAGCGACTGATGGGGGTGACACTAGGGGAGTCGGTGTAGCTGTGAGTGCTGGGGATGGTGGGGGGCAGCTGCAGTCCCACAGATGTGGGCACTGTGGGCAGCACTGGCTTGCTGTCTAGCCAGGTGGTCACTGGCTTCTCTGGGGGCAGTGACATGCCATAGGGAATCCCGGAGCAGGTGGGCACGTTGTCGAGGTACTCTGGGACAGGGTAGGGGTTCATCTGGATGTGGGGATACTTCTCCTTGTGCCTCTGGAAGTGCACCTTCAGGTTGCCTTTGGTGGAGAAGCGGTTCCCACAGATGTTGCACTTGAAGGGGCGCTCACCAGTGTGCGAGCGCAGATGGATCTGCAGTGCACTGTCGCTGCCGAAGACCTTGGCACAGAACCTGCACTTGTGCTTGAAGAAGGGGTCCTCAGCACTGGCCTTGGGTTCAAACACTGACACGTTGGGTGGCTTGCCCTTGCGGTGCTTCATGAGGGCTGACAGTGGGTCCAGGGCATTGGCTGTGGCAGCGATGCTGACCAAGGGGTTGGGGAAGATGACACTGTTGGAAGAGGTCTGAGGTAGCAGAGGGCTTGGCAGGCTGGGGGTGGAGCTGAGCAGGGGCCCAGGGCCCAGGGCAGGGGGCGTGGGCGCATTCTGCGGCTGCGGGGTGCTACCAGGCGCTGTGGGCCCTGCATTGGAGACTGGGGGTGCTGTGCACTCTGGAGGGCTGGGGCCACCTGGGGGGCTTGCTCCGGATGTGGGATGAGCCAGGGGTTGGGGGCCCTCGAAGGTGGCTGGTGGGGCAGCAGGCCCCACAGGGCCAGGGACCTGTGCAGCTGAGAGCTGCAGTGCAGGGTGTGCAGCCAGGGAAGTTGGGCCAGGTGTGCCAGGCGCTGCTGCTGCAGGGTTTAGGGGTGGCCGTGCAGGCTGGCGGCTCATAAGGGCTACCTGACTGCGTATCTGTTCGATGAGCTGGAGCTGGTGGATCTGCTGCTGCTGCAGGGCCACCAGCTGCTCCAGGATCATGGGGATGGCCACGGCACCAACGCCTGTGCCCGCCGTGCCACCTGCCATGCGTGCACCCTGGGAAAACTGTGCCACAGCTACCTTGGTGCTGAGCAGGGTCTCGAGTGTCACGTTGGTGCTGGGCATCCCGAAGGTAGCTGTGGTGGGTTCGGGGCCCGGGCCTAGGGCTGGGGGTGGTGGGGCAGCTGCTCCAGGATCATGGGGATGGCCACGGCACCAACGCCTGTGCCCGCCGTGCCACCTGCCATGCGTGCACCCTGGGAAAACTGTGCCACAGCTACCTTGGTGCTGAGCAGGGTCTCGAGTGTCACGTTGGTGCTGGGCATCCCGAAGGTAGCTGTGGTGGGTTCGGGGCCCGGGCCTAGGGCTGGGGGTGGTGGGGCACAGGCGCCCGGGCCTGTGCCGCCCTT